CCTTTCCAGGACTAATTCTGTTTACTCTGTATTCTGTCATGTTGGAGTCACCGAAATCTCTGCCTGGTTACTTTAGTCTTGAGCATGTGATTAGACAGGGATTTCCTTAAGTGATTGAAGCAGTAAGTCTCTCACCTTTACCTGACTTTCTAGCTCCCGAGAATATTTTGGCACTTTTCAAAGCCTCTATAGACATCACACTCCCCTTATTTTTAAGTTTTCTGGCCAGTCTCTCATTTGTCCCAGCTAGTATAGCCATGTCAGGCAACTGTGCTGTTTAAATAATTGCCACCAATTGTTTCTGACAAACAACCTGAGGATACTTTCCTCACTGAGTGACCTGAGTTGGGTTAAATGAAGACAAGCCCTGTGATTGGGACTATTCCAGGGAGCTGCCAGGCAGGTCAAGGAGTGACAAATCTCCGGGAATGGGGCTTCTTGGATAACTCCAAATCTATCTTAGAGGGACTCTAAATTCATTCAGTGGCTTCTAGGCTACTGGTTTTCACTGCTACTGTGGTCTCAAGGTTGCTGATTTTCAAGGCTACTGTGGAGGTGAAAAGAAGAAGATGGGGACAGGACAAGTTAAAACACCACAAAGCTTACTGATCATACAGAGATTCAGCCTTTTTCTCAAACACATTTTCTTTGGGTTGTTGCAATCCTTTGGTTAATTTCCAGAGTTTCAAAAAGTTTATTTTGATCACTTCTGCCAGTGTACTCGTTGATTTTATGCAGAATCAGATATTCAAAGATCCATACTCCACCATTCTGGAAATGTTTCTCTAGGAATTTTTTTTTTTTTAAATGAGATGTATAGGATTTCTCTTAAATTAATATAAGCAGCATCTACTACATTCACTTAGAACACTAGACATTACCACCCATGATAGACCATCTAAATGAGAAAATTGCTTCTCTTATTTCACAGAATGTCCATGCTGATTTCCAAAGCACATGGCATCTACCTTCAGTAAACAACACAGAATATTAGAACACCAGAGTTCAAGTTCATGTCTATCGACTCTCCAGCTCCAACTAAAAGGGCCTAAGGGACAGACTGTTCATCAATGACTGTAGACTAATGGTTTTCACCCCTTCAGGCTCACAGCCACTTTTTATCAGAAATATTTTAAAACATGTTTTATTATTCTAAAACACAAACAATATAACTTAACCTCAGGCATATTTTTAATCATCTATCATGATTAAAGGTATCTTTAATATCTAACTGTAATGTAACAGAGAAATAAAAGAAAGCAACTTATGATAGTATGTAATTCAATCTAGAAATGGCCAAAACTCCTGATGACACAATAATTAGGTGCTTGCATATGTACATATAATTACCATTAATGTGCCCACTACAAATGCAGACTACTGCAGTACTTTTGACCTGGAACTCAAATGCCACAAGCAATGTTGCCACTAGTGAGTTTTTAAAATGATAGAAAACTCTTGGTTACGTACTGAACAAAGACTACAACTTTCCCTCACTTAACTGGTAATTGCATTTTTGGGCAAATCAAGTATTGCAGATCTGCAACAACAAAAATATGAAATGGAATTATAATATATGCTCAAAAAATTATTGTCGATGTCCACCAGTCAGAGATCGTGAGGAACAGATCTGATTGAATCGAGTTGGGTTTATCAGCATGCTTTTGCACAAGAGAGATCACATACCATGGGGAACCATGGGGTGCCTCAGTATGGGAGTGCTGGGAAGGGCTTTTTATAGGATTTGGGGTTGTGTTGGGTGATTTCAAGAAGGGCTCCATGAATCCTAGTTTTACTCTGGATTGAGTACTTTCAGAAAGCAAGGGCAATTCTAAATGAGTGTAAATATTAAAATTTTTAATCTAGGAGGAAGAAGGAACACAGTGATCCAATGGGTAATGAACCAACTATCACACATGTAAGCCAAGAGACAGGAATGTTTGGTCGCTCTATGATTTACACAGAATCTTGTTTCTAAGTTTAACATGACTATGGAGTGTCTTAATTTTTGTCTTCCTCCACCACATTCAGAGTGGCCTTGTCAGATGCTGGTGTTCTATAAAATTGTTTATATTCAACAGAATAGCCTAGCCATTAGAGCCAGGTCAGCTTCCAACTGATAGCTGTAAGGGTTGCTTTTCTTTTCTCATTATAAACAGGATTTCCATGTACATAATTATTCAGCGAGGTACAAAGAAGTCATGAGATACAGGATAATTCTTTGCTGTCTAAAACTGTCCTATGCTATTCAGGCACCCAGCATCTCTATTCACTTTCATTCACATTTCATTGGCCATTGTTCACTCACATTTCATGGCCTCAAACGAATTAAGGAAGCTGGGAAATGTAGAACAAATGGAACGTTTAGTGAGCATTACTATCTCTACTATATGCAACCTTCAATAAATTATTTTACTTCTCTGTTAGTTACCTACCTGTAACATGAGGTTACATGGTACATAATTGTCATTTTTCCCTCTTGGGGAGAATCATACGAGATAATACATAAAAGAACTTTAATAAGCTCTAAGAGTTACACAGATTTTAAAAGGCCCATAGTACCTATATGTTGGAATTAATGTGCCATCACCTCTGCGTGCGCACACACACATCTTTACCTATCTATTTAGAGGTCTGGGTCAAAGAATACTCTGGGAGATGTGGAATTAGAATGTGATTTTACTAGGGCTAGGCACGGTGGCTCACACCTGTAATCCCAGCACTCTGGGAGGCTGAGACAGGCAGATCACCTGAGGTCGGGAGTTCAAGACTAGCCTGACCAACATAGAGAAACTCCATCTCTACTAAAAATACAAAATTAGCCGTGGTGGCGGACACCTGTAGTCTCAGCTACTTGGGATGCTGAGGCAGGAGAATCGCTTAAACCCGACAGGTGGAGGTTGCAGTGAGCCACGATCGTGCCACTGCACTCCAGTCTGGGCAATGAGAGCGAAACTCTATGTCAAAAAAAAAAAAAAAAGTGATTCTACTTTCATTTTACTAGCACCATTCAGTCAATTCACCTGTATCCAAGGCTGACCAGGGACAATAGAGAGGAAAACCACTTATCCTCAGTCTCTCCTAATTTCTTCAGTCTTGATGAAATGATTAAAGTGTCAGATTTTATTTTCCAAAGAGTATCTCCCATCCCACATACTCTTATTATAATGTAATCTTAACACTCCTCTCATCAAGTACTGGGCTCTATGTACCCTTCTATTGAAGCTGGATGGACCTTGGTTATTGCTTCATCCAATGAAGTATGACAGAAGAGACATAATGTGAATTCCAAGACTAGTCATTAAAATGCCATGCACTTCTCTTGCTCTCTTGGAAGACTCATTGTTAGAACCCAGTGCCAGGTTGTGAAGAAGTCAAATGTGCCCTCAGGGAGAAACTACACAGTGTAGGTGTTCCAACCAACAGCCTAGCTGACGCCACAGCTGACAGCCAATGTCAACCTCCAGGTCAGTGGCTGAAAAGCTCCATGCCACTTCCTGGCTCCTGCCCCAGCCATCACCGTGCTCCATCCAAATTCCTGTCCTACAGAATTTGTGAGCATAATAAAATATCTTGTTTTTCACCAGTACCAGTAATTCTGGGGGTGGAGTTTTATGTAGCAACAGCATCTGGGACAGTGCAACTCAGTGGCAACTATAATATTCACTTAAGTACTACATAAAGATCAACTATGTATTTACTAAATTATTACATCTCTAATACTGTACTAACAACTGGAGTGTACTGTACTAACAACTCCAGTTAGTACAATATGGAAAGTTAGTACAAACGGAAATAATCATGGATAATGCTCAAAAGTGCACTGTATTGACAAGAATCCAGTTAGGCTATGAGCAACAGAGAAGTCAGAACAATAATACTTGAAGAAGATAGTTCCCTTCACTTTTATTAAAAGTTCAGACAGCTGGCCAGGCATGGTGGCTCACGCCTGTAATCCCAGTACTTCGCGAGGCCGAGGCGGACAGATCACGAGGTCAGGAGATAGAAACCATCCTGGCTAACACGGTGAAACCCCATCTCTACTAAAAATACAAAAATTAGCCAGGCGTGGTGGCAGGGTGGGTAATCCCAGCTAGTAGGGAGGCTGAGGCAAGAGAATCACTTGAACCCAGGAGGCAGAGGTTGCAATGAGCCGAGATCACACCATTGCACTCCAGCCACGGCGACAAGAGCAAAAGCTCTGTCTCAAAAAAAAATTCAGACAAGCAGTTCAGGGATGCTATACACAAGATGGGATTCAGACAGTATCTACCTCATTTATCTGCCATTCACAAAACGAGGCCTTTACCACATAGTCCAAGATGGCTGCTCTAGTTCCTGCACTGTGTCTACCTTTCAGGAAAAAGGGGGAAGGGATGGGCATGCCTCCTCCTTTTAAGGATACTTCCTGGAAATGTATCCATTGGCCTGAACTCGGTCATGTGGCCACACCAAGATACCGCGATAAAATTTGGGAAAGGTTATCTTTATTCCAGGATGCCATGCCCTAGCTAATTAGGTGGTAAATCTATAAAAGGGGAAAAATGAATATTAGGGAATACATGGTAGCTCCTGCCACATGCATATTCTAAAATTCAGTTGTTACTTGGTTTAGGATTACAGTTCAAATAACACAGTTATCTAAAAGAACTATACCAATGTATCCTCTGTTAGACTCTCAACCCTAAAGATTTAGGTTAGATCTTTCAGATTAAATTTTAAAATGTCTTCAGTGCAGTATCAATTCTTCTCACCAGACAGAACAGCTGAGTATAAGTAAAATAAACAAGCTCTTAACAAATTATTAATTTTTAAGAAAGGAAAAGGCATTTAGAGCAAATATTTTCTCTAAAAATACTAATATATCGTGTTTTATATCCTACAGATATTCCTGTAATCTGTTTTCCTTAGGAAAGTCACTCAATAACCGGAAGTTCTGTTAAATCGTCTAAAGTATTACATATTTGTCATGAGGATTAAATGAGATTACACATGTCAAATGCCTTGTAAACAGTAGAATTTTATACAAATATAAAGTTTTGCACCTTCAAAGCTATCACTCCAATAAGACACTTATTCAATTAAACAAATAATCTTAAAAACTATTTTAACAATGTACAAATATATTCACAACATAATCTGCTGATTAAGACTTCAACAAAGTTTATAATACCTACAACAGAATTTACAAATGCCTACAATAGTTTGTAGATTGGTTTACAGTTACACAGAATGCTTTAAGAAATACCATTAATACAAATGCATAATTTACAATATCCCCATTATAGCAAGAAAAAAAAATAGATTCAGAAAATGTCTTTTAGACATTTATTATGCCAAGTATGTAAATGATTATTCTCATTATGACATGAGAATAATGCTCTTTTAGTGGTAAAAGATCTATTAGCTCAAGGTCCACTGAAGAGCTTTCAATCTAGCTATCCTTTCTGTAAAATAAATAGAACAGCAGCAATCTCTGGGTATTCCTTAAACAAACGATGATGATTCCACTTATATTAACTGGGCCTTAAGTAAATGACTTCTTACAAATAAAAATAAGATTTTAGAAAGTAGTTAATACCACTGGCCCTAATTGTTTTCACTTGCTTGTATATGTCTAAGAAATTTCCCCATGAAGTACATATTAAAAACTAACAATAATTTCTAACTTATACATAAGCCAAAGTGCTCACTCTTACCATGGAAGCAAAATTTACTCCTGAAAATCATCTACAGAAATAATATGTAAACACATAGAGCTTTGAGACAGACTAAGAACATCCTCCCATGTTTTATGGATCAAAATGCAAAGGTCTCCATTACCTATGTAAATGAACACTTTCATTAACTTGAGATATACTGATACTACATGGCTGTGTGCATACCTATGGAACATGTGCATACCTACACCACAGAATAAATCTTGACAATGTTTCTAGTGCCAACATATACTTTCTAGCCCCAAATGCTGGAAAGGAAATAAAAACTTAACATGAAAACTACTTTTCCTTTTTATAAATAAAGTTTTTAAGTGGAAAAACAAAGCCAACACTCCTCGTTGCAACATGGACTAAGCTCTAAAAGGTTCAGAGTCAAGAATCTCTTCAGTTGTTCCCCCAATGTAACAAAGCACATTAAGTTTTGTCTATTCAGGAAGTCTGATCATCTCCAGTGTTCTGCAAAAGACAAAAAAAAAAAACAACTCCGTAATATCAAAGTTATTTCACTTCACACACCATGGACTTCAAGGCCTATGCCTAGGAAAACATTCTATATTTCTAAGCAGAGCATTACCTTACATACAATGGCCCAATCACATTAAAAAGTAGACATGCCAGGACAGGAGCGGTGGCTCACGCCCTGTAATACCACCACTTTGGGAGGCTGAGGTGGACGGATCACAAGGTCAGGAGATAGAGACTATCCTGGCTCTAACACGGTGAAACCCCGTCTCTACTAAAAATACAAAAAATTAGCTCGGCATGGTGGCGGGTGCCTGCAGTCCCAGCTACTCGGGAGGCTGAGGCAGGAGAATGGCGTGAGCCCAGGAGGCAGAGCTTGCAGTGGGCCAAGATCATGCCACTGCACTCCAGCCTGGGTAGAAAGAGCGAGATTCCGTCTCCAAAAAAAAAAAAAAGTAGACACGTGCTACTGAAGTAAACCCATGGATACCATCATCCACCCAGCTGTCCGGTTTGTCCCATTTGAGCAGATGCCAGTACCATGTAAGACACTAATCCTATCCATGTTATGCCAGGTTTAAGGTTTAATTTCACCTGTATTCCATGTCCCTCCCCAGACCTTCAGAAACACTGAAAATTCTAAGGATAAAAACCTAATAAGTACATACATGAAAGTTACCCTAAGGTGGACCACAGTAAAGGTATACTGGGACCATGCAAATATCCTTCAGAATGAGATGATCATGTCCCTACGTGAATATTCACTTTCTCTACTTTTCATCTTCTGGAAGAGAAACTGTACAGTAGCATAAAAAGAACAATAAATTTTGAGTACAAAGGGCTGGGTTTAAGATCTAGCTTTGTACCACTTATTAGCTGTATAATCTTATGTAAATAATTAAATTTCTCAGGGCTTTAGTTATCTAAATGTAATCCCTGGACCAGCACCCTCAGTACCACCCAGAAACTTGGGAGAAATGCAAATTATGAGACCCTACCCCTAGATCTACTGAATAAGGAGTCTGGAGGTGGAACTCAGCAATCTTGTGCCCTCTAGGTGATTCTCCTGTATGTTCGAGTTTGAGAATCCCTGTCCTATATAACATCACTTGCCCAACCTACTGTACTACTTTACTAACCAAATGCAAGGTATTACCCATATAAAGACCTTGTCACTTTTCTTTTTTTTTTTTTTTGAGACGGAGTTTCGCTCTTGTTGGAATAAGAGCGATCTCCCAGGCTGGAGTGCAATGGCGCGATCGCAGCTCACCACAACCTCCGCCTCCCGTGTTCAAGAGATTCTCCTGCCTCAGCCTCCCTAGTAGTTGGGATTACAGGCATGTGCCACCACACCTGGCTAATTTTATATTTTTAGTAGAGATAGGGTTTCTCCATATTGATCAGGCTGGTCTCGAACTCCCGACCTCAGGTGATCTGCCCGCCCCGGCCTCCCAAATGCTATGAAGCCCCAGATGGCCTGTTGGGAGATGGATATTAGGGCAATGAGGCCACCCGCCACCTGTAGTTTACTTCCGTTTGTTGTGTCACGTTATTTCGGCCACACGCGCATGTTAACCAATAAATTATTCTACCTAACCAGAAAGCGGAGTCAACTAAAATCAATCCTCGCTGAAAAACCTGTGTTCGGTGTGTGGTTTATAGGCTAAGCTGATTCGCTTATTGTTTCAGCTGTGTGCCAGCAGGGGAACGTTATCAGAACAGGGGCTGTGATGTTTGATGGACCCCAAGGCAAAAGGGTGCGTTACTGGTCCTATTGTGAGTGAAACGTAGTGTCTCACCGTGAAAGCATAACTCACAAGGTAGCAAATGTGTCCCAGGAGGCGCAGTGGCTCCCCTGTTCCTTCCCAGCACTCCATAGAGACCAAGAAGCCGCGCCGCCGAAGAGGGGGCAGCATCACGAATGTCCAAGCGGTCAGAGAGCGAACCATCCTTGGCAACACAGTGAAACCCCCGATATTCTTACTAAAAATATAAAAAAATTAAGACCGTCCCGGAGGCTTTGATGAGTGGCTTGCCGGGTGCCTGTGGTCCGAGCTCACTTGGTGGAGGCTGATGTGCTACTGTCGAGGCAATGAGACGGGGGTTGCCAGAAGGTGGAGGCCAACCGCACTGATGGCCCACATAACATTCAACAGGACTCGCGAGGTGACAGAGCAAGACCTCCGTCTCAAAAAGAACCATACAATAGATACATTCTATCAGAGGATATTCACTTAAAGCTCCCATGAATTAAGTGTAGAGAAACACACAGGAAGCGTTAAAAGCTAATTTTAAACACAATAAGTTATTATCCAATGATTAGTTTTATCCTTCCTGGGCTAGACCATATTATCAGAGATAGCGAATCACTAGGTACCACTTCCAGAAGGTCTTGAACACCGCCCCAAAGATGCCATAAAAACAATCTTTTCGGTATATATTTAAAGGTACCAGGCCTAACTGCCCATTGAGGAAACGTTTGTTCAGGAGCATTTCATAAAGAGTTAGACTTATGAAGGGCAGGGTGCGGAGTCGGATTACGCGCAGCTGGATCTGACAATCACGCGCGTATTGGATGGGAGGCCGAGGCGTCGCAGGGACTGATGAAATCAGGAGCTCAAGCGCAGCATCTGGCCTACCATCAAGGCGAAACCGTCCAGGTTCTCCAGTAAACAATACAACAATCACTCTGTAGCCGGAAGATCGTCGCGCCTGTGTCGAGCGCACTGCTGTCGGTTCCCAGTTCACGCGAGAGACTGACCAGAGAATGGTGGTGACACCGGGAGGCAGAGACTTGCATGTAAGATTTGACCAGGGCCCACTGCACTTCAGCCTGGGCGACAGAGCAAGACTCCGTCTAAAAAAAAAGATTAGAAATAATTGCATCAGTTACTGATCACATCCAGAAAACACTTACTTGTCGTAAGAACTGCTTTCCAAAATATGAAGTAGCCATGCTGGTTAAATTCTTTCTGCTGCCCACCTTACACCTGATGTAACCATACAGGTTGGCACCTTGTAGCACCACACCCATGATAACCACCGCCTGGGACAAGGGAAAAAATAATCAGTGGTTACTGGCCTGAAATTGACCTTTCTCTGTGCCATAAATGAGACAAGGCAGATTGTCATGAGAAAGAGAGGGAAGAGGAAGCTCTGCAAAGCCATGATTGTGCCAGTGAGACTTTTCCAGAGACAGCTGCCAGAATAGACCCAACTGATAGACGCTCTGCACAAGGCATGAGTCATTCACCCAGCAGGTATTTACTGAACACAACCGCTCTATGTGCCAGGCACATACTAGCTGCTGGGCATGCAGTGAAGGGGGAGCTTTCTTGCTCTCTGTTTCCCACTGGTCTGTGAGTAAAGTTAGGAAAAGTAAATGAGACTCAGGAAAGGCTCAAATGTTAATTATTCCTGTAAGAATTACAAAAGAACAGTCAAGAGGTAGATCAAGTCAAGAGGTAGATCAAGAGGTAGATCAAGGTGCATCTCTGCTCTATGTGACAAGTGGCTTCTAGTAGAGGGGATGCAATGCCCTAAGGGAGCAATCAACAGATGCCTGCCTTAACTGAGAAGGGAGACCGCTCCAAGGGGAACTGTACTTTTGCAGAGCTGTTTGTTCCTTTGAGTTTCTTTTTCTCACCTATGGTGATCCCACTAGGATCAATGAGAAGTGAGAAAAAGAAACTCAAAACCCATTCTTTAAAAATTTCTAATTAATCTCAATTAGAAAAATTAAGACAATGTGAGGAATTCCCATGGTTAAAGATTCTAATACAGTGATCAGCAAAGTTCTTCTGTAAAGGGCCAAATCATAAATATTTTAGATCATACGGTCTCTGTTGCAATTACTCAACTCTAATGTTCTAATCCAAAGGCAGCCATAGATGATATATAAATGCACAAGGCTGTTTTTCAATAAAAACTTACAAAAACAGGTGTCGGGCTGAATGTGGTCTGTAGGCCATAGTTTGCCAACCCTTGTTCTGGAATAAACAGCTCATCGACCATTCTACTCTTTTATATCTGTGACAAGCAAAGAAGCTCAATGAAATGTCTTTTTCCAATCTAGATTTATTCTCCTTACCCTTAACAAGATGTATGGCTGATTTTAATGTTTAATTAATAGATTTAAATGTTTGATTAATGAACAGGTTCACATTCCTAGTAAAAGACGAGGAGGTGGTACTTTCTGTTCTAAACTTATGTTTCATGGAATTAAACGTGTTAGTGTAATAAGAGGTTGCTAGTTACCTACATAAACATAAAACTGTGTCTTTATTTGAATAAATGTCCTTTTAACTTCCCATGCTTCTCAAATAGTGGCGCTGCTGGGTATGTATATATCAACATGCCAGGGTACACCTGAATTCACAGACCAATCACAGGTCCTGCTAAGGCATCAATTTACTCAATGGCAACAAATGTTAAAATCTGTAAGTTAAACTTTTGGTTTAAGATGGTGCAGTAAAGTCAGGCATGAAGATCTTCCTCCCCTTAAGGTATAAACAGCAAACAGCGTTTTTAAAAACGCAAATAAACTAATACCAACAAACATAAAAAAGGGCTGGTGGCCGAAGAGCCAGCCTGGAGCAGCTCTACACAGCTCCACACTCTCCAAAGAAGCTCTAAGGAAGATTTCACTAATAACTGCCATCCCCAGCAACTTACAGAAAAGCAAAAGACCCAAGAAAAAAAATGCAGAAATAGCCATGACAACAGAAACTCCTCCCAACTAACAATGGCCCAAAAAGGCAGGAAAATCCCTGCAGCTGGCCATAGTGGTGCCACCAGGTGGGAAGAAGGCAGGAGGGGAAGCACAGAAGCATCAATAATCATGAGAGCTGATCATCTTAAGAGAAGTGAGAAGGTGGGAGACTCATGGAGAGCCTGGGTGAAGCCCCTCCCTGTCCTGTGGTCTTAACCCATTTATTTTTATTATTTTTAATTAATTATTTCTTTTGAGATGGAGTCTCGCTCTGTCGCCCAGAATGGAGTGCAGTGGCACGATCTCTCCCTGCAAACTCCGCCTCCTGGGTTCACACCATTCTCCTGCCTCAGCCTCCCGAGTAGCCGGGACTACAGGCGCCTGCCACCATGCTAATTTTTTGTATTTTTAGTAGAGACAGGGTTTCACTATGTCAGCCAGGATGGTCTTGATCTCCTGACCTAGTGATCTGCCCGCCTCGGCCCTCCCAAAGTGCTGGGATTACAGGCATGAGCCACTATACCCAGCAGTCTTAACCCATTTATGCTGTAGGTTGCAATTTTGTAAATTTTTGCATGAGTGAAAAATCAGACCTTGGTGATGACCTTGAGCAGTAGGATATAAATAACTCCTACATGCTTAGCGTTCCAATAATGGAACACTAGGCATAAGTAGGTTAACACAGGATCAAACTGGCTTTCACATAACCTCTCCCCGTTTTGTTTTAAGGAAGTAGAAACACTGCTAGAAAAAGACTGGGCTGACTCTCCTGGATGGATGCTAAAACTCCAAGGTCTCATAAACAATCCAAAGCAGAAGGGAAAAACCAGAGAGTGCACAGCCAACCAGGAGACAAGAGCTCCACTAAGGAAGAGAATGCAAAACCAGGCAGCCCAGCCAAGACAGCCAGAGCCTGGCGAGGTCTCCACCTCGCACCTCACACCTGTGTCTTAATGCCACCAAACCCAGCACCGCAATTCCAGCTCAGAGCAGCAGCCACATGCCTCAGACATCAGGGGAAGGTGGTCAAGGAAGATTCACCCTCACTAAACCAGCAGAAAGAGAAGGGCTGGACAGGGCTGTCACTGTAAGGATAAGCAAAATGGATAAGGACAAAGGGAAGTGCATTTATGCAAAACTATAGCAAAAAAAGAAAAAAGAAGTACAGTATACAGAAGATAGGTGAAGAATCTACTCAGAAAGAAAAAAAAAAACCATTAAAATAAAAGCATTCCTGGGAATATTTCACCCTATAGAAAAATCTAAAGATAAGAACTCAAAAAGCATGAGGATGAGATAACAGGAGATGAAAACGGAGCTGACAAAGCTAAGGAAATACAGAGAGAAGCCTTAGCTGAGCACCTAAAATAGTTACTGTTCTCTCCTCTGCCCTCTCTACCCCATTACTTTGTATCATTAAGTAACATACCCTACTGTATTTTTTACTGTCTGTCTACCTTCCACTAGAACACAAGCTCTACTGGAACAGTCATCTTGTTTACCTGTCCCCTAACTTATCCCCCTGTGTCCCCAGGCCACTCTGACATAACAGTGAACTCTTAAAATTGCTGAATAAATAAGGAAATGAGTAATTACAGCAACAAGAAAATAGTAGACGAGAACAAATAAAAATGATCCAACATAGACATAACTAATACTTCAAAATTAAAGGTCAAAACATAGAACATAAATAAATGCAAAGATTTAACAAAAAAAAATTTTCCTGATTCCAAGTAAAACTTTAGTCTGCCTGTCTCAGAAAGGCACACAGGCTCCAGAAAATTGATATGGAAAGATAAATACAGATACATCTGGGTTACACGAACTAAAAAAAACAAAACAAAACCTTATGGGGAGAGATTACAAAGGTTAAGTAAGCCTGGCCTCAGACTTCTCCAAAATATTCAATATAAGAAAATGATGGAATAGCATCTTCCAAACGGAAACAAACTGTGACCCAAGAATATTAATCCAGCCAGGTCATCATTCAAGAATGGTCAATAGGCTCATATGTTTAAACATGAGTCAAAAGAAAATGTAACCAACCAATAAGTAAAAGGAGAAGCTGCAGTAAGACTGGTGATAGGCAATGAATCGATTTTTTTAAAAAACAGATCAAAGACTGAACACCCACTAAGAAATATGTTTTCAAAAGATAACTATTATAATACTTGGTAACACAAAAATAACATTGGAACAAACAAGAAAGAAAGGAGGAGACTCATAGGAAGGAATATGAGTGTTTATTTTCTTCCCTTTCTAAACAGAGTCTATTAAGTCAATAAACAGGTTTAAAGTACATTAATTAATGTTACAAAGAAAACCACAAGAAGGACTAAAATAAGACCACAATAAGCAAAACTCTAGAGGTAGGAGCAGAGAGAAGTTAAAGAAACCATATGAGTGTAAACTTTCCCATTTTCCAGAGCAGGAAATCTACAAATATTGAATAAATTTCCTAATTCATGAAAGAGGGTAATAATATAAAGTAATTAAAGGTAACTACTAGAAGAACTGAAAAAGATAGTAAGTTTCCAAATCCAAAGAAGTATGAATGTACGAGCACACACAAAGAAAAAAAGAACCTGTATCACAAAACAGAACTAAAAAAAATACTACAAATTAGGAGGAAAAACAATTAAGGTCAAAATATACCTGATATCAGTAAATATTGTGTGAAAAAATTTCACACATCCCTAATGATAAGGACTCGGTTGTTGCTTCCTATGATTACCATCAGACATCTTAATGGATTATTTGAAAGTTCTACATTGATACTCACCAACCATTTTACTCTGAAGGAGAAGAGTGCACTAAAGGCAAATATCACCCACAGCACTGGACAGGCAATAAGTCCCAACCAAAAGATTCTTGATTCAGCCTCTGACACAGTTTTATTCTCTTGAGAGGACTCCTATAAAAGAACATAAATTCAATTATCATGTTGTGAGATTTATCAATAAAAAGTTCAACATGTTTAATAAAAAACATATTACTCACAAGTTCAAATATTAATACAGACAGCCCAAGTCCTAAGTCAGAAGCCAAAAAAACATGACTTCCACTCTTGTAATTTTAGGAACTGATCTATATTAACTCAAGAATTTTGCATTTTGCATTTTCAGGACAGGATGGATGGTTTACCACAACACATGACAGTAAAGAGTGGTCTCTGATAGGCTTCTATTCAATTCTTCTTGCACTTGTACTACTTATTCATAAGGAAGCTCTAAATGATACCTTTCTGACTAAGGATCAAGGAAATCACAGTTATAATCATTCTGGAGACTAAAAGGTCAAATTAGCATCCAGAGGGGGGAAAAAATGGAATTAAGGGATTCAAGACAATTATCAAAATGTCTTAGCAATACTCAGGAATTTACAAGGGTGGTAAGTTGTGTCCAAGGTAGATTCCATAATATAAAAGAATACAGGCTCATTGAACACAGTGCCACTTTCTTAAAATAACTGTCAATACCCTTGATGTACTGTCGCCAAGAATTTGGTCCTCTGTTTCCAAAACTTATTTCCATGAGGAAAGTGAATATTCACTATAGTGTAGCAGGCTAACCCAAAACAGACCGGGACCCCCAGGGCTCCTGAAGGCAGAAGTTTGAAGAATAGAGTGCTCTGATCAGCTTTTCTATCCAGTTGCACTCCTCCTCCTCCTTTTTCCTGCCCAGAAAGGAAAGACGACCACAGGAGCAAAGACAGAGCAAGATGTTGAAAGCAGTTATCTGCTGGGCATAGAGGGATTCATGGAGATACTAACGAAGGCAACACAGAGGTATTTTATCAGCAGTCCCTGACAGGCAGCTTAGCACACTGTATAAACGCTGACCCAGTGTCTTTCCTCAAAGGATTCTGTTCTGTGTATTGCTTGTTTCTGGTCTGAACTAGACAGAAAAATGCATTAAATTCTAGAAGGCCATCTCCTTTAGTACTGACATGCCAAGTGATTTGCTAAGTGTTTTCAATTCTGAATACTTCATCTTCTAATATTTAAATATAATCTACAAATAATTTAGCTGATAACACTATTTAAAACAAAAAAGGTACTTTACCTTTCTAGATTCAAATACCCAGTGGCTCTTTCCATCTTCATCAATGTGATTCCACCAACGTAGGCCAACCATTAGTCTACCTGTGACATTCTGGTGAAGGTTAATGTAAACAGGCACATTTTAAAAGCATTATTTAAAGATCTATCATCAGCTCATATCTTAGTGTAACATTTCACACACAAAAACCTTCAGCTTTACCTTCATAATATCCAGTTAGCAAAGACTACTATATATCAGGCCTGGCTAAATGATTAAGTAAAATGATAATGGCAGTACTAGCAAAGGTAGAGGTAACAGAGCAAGCCACAAGTCTACCCATAAACATTACCCCTTCTCTTTTCCCTCATGAACAATTTGCCCTTTCTCCCGTTCCCTAATTTTCCCTAAACTCCTTGCTATTTGCTTACTGTGACCTACCTTACATCCTGACTATAGCTACATATATTTTACAACTACATATCCCCAAAAATGGTTATACACACTAGCCTTCAGTCAGTCTCTCAAGTGTACCAAGCTCTTTTCCTACTTACTAAGGTAACAAATTCCTTTGATAGCTTTCCTAATGTTTATTTACTCAACAAATATTTACTGAGCATCTACTATGTGCTGGTAATACTACAGTGACTAACAGATCCATCTCTTTTCTCAGAGAAAGAGGTGAAGAGGAAGCAGACAACCAATGTGCAAATGTACCATTATCAACTGAGGTAAAGTCCTGCAAGGGAAAAGTGTGGGATGATTGAAGAGTATAACAGCAAAATTTGATCTAGTCTGGGTATCAGAAAATGACTCTCTGAGGAATCAACATTTGGAATGAAATTTAAAGAATAAATAAGAATCAATAGTACCGGGGATGTTTAATTAATGATGTCCACTAATAGATTCAGTGGTTCTGTGAACTTCGATGGGTAAAAAAAATGTTATCTTCATTTCCATTAACCTCTGGCTGAAATTTAACGTATCTTTAAATTATGAATGTAGACAACAAACTACGAATGTAGGTAAAATTAAAAACACCCTGACGAAACAGAAATCGCAGACTTTTTTTATTTTGTACTATACCTGCTACAGTTATCTCAAAATATTGTAGGTTTGTTTTGTTTTGTTTTGTTTTTTGTTTTTGAGATGGAGTTTTGCTCTTGTTGCCCAGGCTGGAGTGCAATAGGGCGATCTCAGCTCACTGCAACCTCTGCCTCCCAGGTTCAAGTGATTCTCCTGCCTCAGCCTCCCAAGTAGCAGGGATTACAGGCATGCGCCCCACGCCCAGCTAATTTTGTATTTTTAGTAGAGACGGGGTTTATCCATGTTGGTCAGGCTGGTCTTGAACTCCTAATCTCAGGTGATTCACCGGCCTCAGCCTCCCAAAGTGCTGGGAATACAGGAGTGAGCCATCGCGCCCAGCCTCAAAATACTGTTTAGGCTCACCACTGCTTTGAAAGTAGTTAGCATATCTTTAAATTATTAATGGAGACAACAAACTACGAATATAGATAAAATTAAAAACACCCTGACACAATAGAAACCACAGACATTTCTCATTTCATACTATACTTGCTGCAGTTATCTCAAAATATTGTTTATGCTCACTACTGCTGTGAAAGTAGTTATTAGACCTGCCACTAGATCTTACCATTAATAAATGTATAAAGTATCGTAGTCCTCCCTTATCTGCAGGGTATACAATCCAAAACCCCCAGAAGATGCCTGAAATTGTGGATAATACCAAACCCTATATATGCTATATTTTTTCCTATACATACATACCTATGATAATGTTTAATTTATAAGTAAGGCACAGTAAGAGATTAATAACAAGAAATAAAAATAGAACAATTATAACACAATCTAATAAAATTTATGTGAATGTGGTTCTCCTCATGCAATATCTTACTGTTTAGTATAGCGTACTACAGTAACTGAAACCACAGAAAGTGAAACCTCAGATAATGGGGGGACTACTACACATATCACTCAATCAAAAATTTACTTTTTTAGTATTTTTAAATTATATTTCAATATAAGTGACTTCCTTTGTAATCTTATGTACCTTATATACGTGAAAACATTATCATGAGTCTATGAAAGGGGCCCATGGCATAAAAAGATTAGGAATCCCTGTCTTAAGGTGATGTGGGAGCAAGAAGAGCATTCCAGATAGAGTAGTAGGCACTGACGCCCTAATGAGTAAAGTATAATCTATGGATTTATGGGACTTGGTCATTAATAAGATATGGAGTAGGAAGGAGGCAACTGATACATTTCTGGTTTGCTCAAGTAAAAAAAGTAGTGATTCCAGACCCCGTGAAAGGGAACACTTAAAGAAGAAGAGTTTTTGGGGAGTGGAAGATGACAAGTAGTATTTTACACATGTTAAGATATGAGATGCCTGGCCAGTCATGGTGGCTCACTTGGGTTCAAGACCAGCCTGGCTAACATAGCGAAACCCTGTCTCTACTAAAAATACAAAAATTAGCCAGGCATGGTGGCACATGCCTGTAGTCTCAGCTACCAAGGAGGCTGAGTCAGGAGAATCGCCTGAACCCGGGAGGCGGAGGTTGCAGTGAGCCGAGATCGCACCACTGCATTCCAGCTTGGGCAACAAAGCGAGATTTCACCTCAAAAAAAAAGATCTGAGATGCCTTCAAGACAGCCACATAAAAACGTGAAGAAGACACATGGAGAGGCCTTGAGTTGTGAAGACAAACCTGAATGGAGATACAGATCTGGGAGGCAACACAGCTTACAGATCAGCAATCAAAACCAGAAGCACAGATGGCACTCCTTAGGAAAGGAATACAGAAGAAAAGGAAGAGTCTTATGAAACCAAAATTCCTACGGGAGAGATGTTAAGTGGAAAAAAAAAAAAAAAAGAGCTGGCAAGGGAGATCTAAACCAGAGGTATTTTCAAAGAATGCTCTCAGAATACTTTCAAACTCTTCCATGTTCCCATTTTCCAACTCTTTCCTGCTTTTATCTTTATTAGCTTATTTTCCTAATTTCTCAGGCCTATTGCTTATTTTTGAAACTGGATTCAAGCAGTCCATTATTTTCCCTCTTTCTATTATTTTCCCTCTGAATTCAGTTTTTGACATATTCAGAAAGCTTGACTGTAAATGATCACCATTAAGGTATAAATAACCTATATCTACAGTTTTTTGCTTCCTTTTAAACCCAATTACATAGCAGTTGGTTTTTTACAAAGAATTCCAATTTTGACAACCACTTTCTATTAATTTCTAGTTCTATTTCATTGGACTAGAAAATGTAGGTGCTCTGGGCAATTTTATTTCGATTTTCTTCACAGTGATATTTAGTTAATCTTTGTAAATGCTCCACAGGCATTTTACAAGAAAGTATTCTGTCATACAAAGTCCCAAAAACTGCTATTAAATTGATGTTGCTAATTATTTCATTCAGATCCTTCAGACCTTAGTTATTTTTGGCACTTTGGTTTGTTAAAGATTGTAGTTTGTTAGACTTATCATAATGCTTTCTATCTTCTAATATTTCTAATTTTTTTAATACATAGTTTGATATAATTTTACTCTGAATGATCTTCACTGTGATTCATAAAATGACATTTTTTTGTTCCTCTTTGTGCTTATTCTGATTCATATCTCATCTGATAATCATACAATGCCAAGTTTCTTTTGGTTTGAGTTGATCTGATGTTATCTTTGCCTTCTTTTATTTTTTCTAATGTCATTAATTTGGTTAGATCTTTTGTTTGGACTTTGATTTCTGACCCAATCTTAATATTCTTGTCTTTAAATGGGCATATTAATCAAATTACATTTACTATTATAATGAATTTGCTATTACTTACATCACCTTATACACGTGCTTTCTGATTTAAGCTTCCTTGACACTTGCTTTGTTTTCCTTCTTTTGCTCTATGAATTGTTTTACTTGTTCCATCTTCTCTTATGTTTCAGAAGATACATGACTTGTTTTAAATTTTACTAATAGTTGTCATTAAATTTTTAAAACCATTATTTAACCTTTTTTACTCAATATGTCAGAGTGAAGAACAAAATAAAAACCAATATAAGCTTTAGCATTTAAACATACGTTTAAATTATTTTCCGTTCTCTACCTCTTCTTTATCTTCATTAACATCACCTAGGGCAAGCCTATCCAACCCTCTGCCCACAGGCCTCATGCTGCCCAGGACAGCTTTGAATGTGGCCCAAGAGAAATTCATAAACTTTTTTTTTTTTTAGACAGAGTCTCACTCTGTTGCCCAGGCTGGAGTGCAGTGGCGCGGTCTCAGCTCACTGCAAGATCTGCCTACCGCGTTCATGCCATTCTCCTGCCTCAGCCTCCAGGTTAGCTGGAACTACAGGCGCCCGCCACCATGCCCGGCTAATTTTTTTTTTGTATTTTTAGTAGAGACGGGGTTTCACCATGTTAGAATGGTCTCGATCTCCTGACCTCGTGATCCGCCCGCCTTGGCCTCCCAAAGTGCTGAGATTACAGACATGAGCCACCGCCTGGCCGAGAAAATCGTAAACTTTCTTAAAACATTATGAGATTTTTTTGCGTGTGATTTTTTTTTTTTTTTAAGCTCATCAGCTAATGTTAGTGTATTTTATGTGTGGCCCAAGACAATTCTTTCTTCCACTGTGGCCCAGGGAAACCAAAAGATTGGACACCTAGGGGTTTAGATAAAGATTGCTTTTTTGTTTTTTTAGTAAGTACACTGAGATTTATAACAATTATGACACATCTCTATTTTAACTGTTTCAGAACCCTGCTTATCCGAAGTCCACTTAATAACTTCCCTATTCTTGACTTCTTAATTTTGCTTCATATCTCCATTGTTTGGCTATCTACAATTTTGCCAAGGATAAAAGGGTGCCATTTTTTAAGCCCTTGTTTAAAAACAAAAAAACAAAAACAAACGTGCCACCACACTCCATCCTGGGCGACAGAGCGAGACTCCATCTCAAAAAAAAAAAAAAAGAAAAAGAAGAAACAAAACAAGAACTACCTGATAACTTTGTCTTAATTTCTGAAGTGATTTCTGAGGGCAAGGAATTCTTTTGGCATGATTTGAAAATATGATTCAGATTCTAAGATATAGTTTCCTTATTTCTCCAAGCGAGGTAAAGTTCTTTATTATATATTTTGTGAAAGTTTATATTCAATGAAGTGTTAAAGTCATCTGTGCATAGTGTATTTTCTGTGACAACAGGGCTAGTCAAATAGTGGGACTTAAGAAAAAGCGAGGTAGGACATTTGCTTTCTCCTAAAGTCATCTCTTACTTTGACAAAACTCTTCCACATTTATACCACGGCTAAAACATTTTTTCTACATT